GGACTGGAAAAGGTCAGTTTTCATTTCAATCCCAATGAAAGGCATTGCCAAAGAAGGCTCAAACTACTGCACAATTGCACTCATCTCACACGCTAGCAAAGTAATGCTCAAAATTCTCCAAGCAAGGCTACCACAGTATGTGAACCATGAACTTTCAGATGTTCAGGCTGGATTTAGAAAAGGCAGAGGAACCAGAGATCAAATTGTCAACATCCGTTGGATCATTGAAAAAGCAAGAGTTCCAGAAAAACATCTACTTCTGCTTTACGGACTATGCCAAAGCCTTTGACTCATGTGTAGATCACAACAAACTGTGGAAAATTCTGAAACAGATGGGAATACCAGACCACCTGACCTGCCTCCTGAAAAATCTGTATGCAGACCAAGAAGCAAGAGTTAGAAATGGACAAGAGTTAGAAACAATCTGGAACAACAGACTGGTTCCATTTCGGGAAAGGAGTACATCAAGGCTGTATACTGTCACCCTGCTTATTTAACTTATACATCATGAGATGTATCATGAGTACATCATGAGAAATACCAGGCTGGATGAAGCACAAGCTGGAATTAAGCTTGCCGTGGGAGAAATATCAATGACCTTAGATATGCAGATGACACCGCCCTTATGGCAGAAAGCAAAGAATAAATAAAGAGCCTTTTGATGAAAGCGAAAGAGGAGAGTGAAAAAGTTGGCTTAGAACTCAACATTCTGAAAACCAAGATCATGGCATCTGGTCCCATCACTTCATGGTAAATAGATGGGGAAACAATGGAAACAGTGACAGAGTTTATTTTCTTGGGCTCCAAAATCACTGCAGATGGTGACTGCAGCCATGAAATTAAAAGATGCTTGCTCCTTGGAAGAAACATTATGACCAACCTAGACAGCATATTAAAAAGCAGAGATATTACTTTGTCAACAAAGGTCCGTCTAATCAAGGCTATGGATTTTCCAGTAGTCATGTATGAATGTGAGAGGTGGACTATAAAGAAAGCTGAGCACCGAAGAACTGATGCTTTTGAACTGTGTTGGAGAACTCTTGAGAGTCCCTTGGACTGCAAGAAGATCCAACCAGTCCATCCTAAAGGAAATCAGTCCGGAGTGTTCACTGAAAGGACTGATGCTCAAACGGAAACCCCAATACTTTGGTCACCTGATTTGACTAACTGACTCATTTGAAAAGACCCTGATGCTGGGGATGATTGAAGGCAGGAGGAGAAGGGGATGACAGAGGATGAGATGGCTGGATGGCATCACTAACTCAACGGACACCAGCTTGAGTAAGCTCTGGGAGTTGGTGATGGACAGGAAAACCTGGCATGCTGCATTCCAGGGGGTCACAAAGAGTTGGACACTACTAAGCGACTGAACTGAATTGAATGTATTATAGGTGAAGGTTATTGATGGTTTCTAGTTTCTTCTTTGTATTGTGTTTTCAAAAGAAAAAAAAGGACATGCATAAGGAGTATAAAAATTGTTTCAAAAACCTCTACAAATGAGATGGCATACCACTGCTTGATTATCATGGAAGAGGATGACACAAGCAGAATCATTTCAGAACTCATGAGGAAGTTCACTTCTTATTTGTTGTTTATATTTACTGAACATTTAATTTTGAGAAATAACAATTGATCTTGCTGGCTATAAGTTCTTCCCTAGATCATTCTGTGTGTCAGAGAATGCTTATGAATCTAGTGTGTATCCAGCTCTATTTTTGTAAAGGATAATAGAAAAATGATTTGAAATTATTTAAGGGTCTGCTGTGTTTGAAACTGCTGGCTTGGGTAGTCCCAGGACTGTGATAAACCCTGGCGTTTGTTTAATCTGTTCTCTACTAGCAGCTGACACACAGCATGCTCTGCTCTTTATATTTCCAATTTTTCTGAACCCTTTGATCAAACTCTGATGATGTAAAAAACAAAACAATAGGATCAGTGGCAGTGGCAGCTAAATGAGTTCAAGAAGTTGGTTAAAGCATTGTCACAGTGGAGAAAATCATTCCTTTCCTTCGAACTAGATCCAAATTATGGATGGTATAGGAGAGAGAATTTAAGATTATTTTATTTATTCCTGGTACAAACTGGCTGCTGTAGCCCCACTGATAAATATCCAATATGTACTCCATGTAGCCCACAACCCAGGAGTCATCTTAGCCAACATGTACTGGAATTTCTCCCTGTATCACGGGGGAAAAAGTGAAAAGTGTTAGTTGTTCAGTCGTGTTGAACTCTGCGATGCCATGGACTGTTGCTCACCAGGCTCCTCTATCCATGGAATTCTCCAGGCAAGAATACTGGAGTGGGGTGCCATTCTCTTCTCCAGAGGATCTTCCCAACCCAGGGATTGAACCCAGCTCTCCTGCGTTGCAGGCAGATTATTTACCACCATCTGAGCCACCAGGGAAGACTATCTATTAGAGAAGAAGATCATCTTTCTTTGTTTATGCGATTTGACTAGAGGTTTTTATGGTGTAAGTATACGCCACCTGTCCCTATTTAACCTTTGTTTTTGTAAGAATGCAGAGCAATAGAAACCCTGGATTTGATGCAAACTGAGGCTTCCCTGGTGGCTCAGAGGTAAAGAACTCACTGACCAATGCAGGAGACACAGAAGGCTCAGGTTCGATCCCTGGGTTGGGAAGATCTCCTGGAGAAAGGAATAGCAACCCACTGCATTATTCTTGCCTGGGAAATCCTATGGACAGAGGAGCCTGCTGGGCTACAGCCCATGGGTTTGCAAAGAGTCAGACACAACTGAGCGACTAAAACCAAAAACAAAACTGGTAGCTCTATAGAGATGTAGTGTGTAATAATTAAATTCATGGGTTTATTATGACCTAAATGTTTAAACTCTGGGGCCAACTACTCATTTTCATGGGGGTCACAAAGGGTAAGTGAAACAGTTTGTGGATTGTGTGTTTGCTTGTTTCATAAGTGGCCCCATCCTATATAGCTCACAGCCTCTGTCTCTTTTCCCAACAGTCAAGCATTCTGACCACCATTCCCATGGCTCAGAACACTGTTGCTTAAGCTAAAGGCCAGTGCCTTGCCACTTATCTAAGAGACTCCAGACACAGATTTGTCTAACTCAGAAGTTCTCAATGAGGGCCAGGTTTGCTCCCTCTCTCCCGGGGGCCAATGACAAAGTCTGGAGATACTTTTGGTTGCCACAACTAGGGTGGGGGCACTGTCATCGAGTGGGTAAAGGTCAGGGATGCTGCCAAACACCCTGTGATGCACAGGACAGTTCTTCTCTCCCAACAACAAAGAATTATCTGGCCTTGGATGTCAATAGTGCCTAGATGAGAAACTTGCATCTAGGTCAACATTGAGCACTTGAGAAATGGTCCAATTGCTCTGAAGCTTATCCTCCTTGTGCATGTGTGTGCTAAGTCGCTTCAGTCGTGTCCGACTCTTTGTGACCCTATGGACTGTAGCCTGCCAGGCTCCTCTGTCCATGGGGACTCTCCAGGCAAGAGTGCTGGAGTGGATTGCCGTGCCCTCCTCCTGGGGATCTTCCCCAGCCAGGGACGGAACCTGAGTCGCTTATGTCTCCTGCATTGGCCGACAGGCTCTTCCACCACTAGTGCCGCCTGAGGAGTAGGTAATTGTTTTGAAAGGACTTTGACATACATTGAAATTAATTAGCCATGGATTTACATGTATTCCCCATCCCGGTAAGTAATTAGCCTCCAACTAATAAAAATAAATGGAAAAATAAAAAAAATAAAAAAATAAAATAAAATAAAATAAATTAATTAAAAAAAAAAAGAAAGAAAGGACTTTGAATGATGCTTCTTGCTTTGGCTCTCTTACACCATTGTATCAGAGGTTTGACTAGGCATGCATCTGTCTCTCTATTTACAGTCTATGAGACAGTCTCTGGGGGATGGAGTCAACTGGACATCCTGATATTGGTTTCAACTGCAGTCAGGTAGAATTCTTGATCTAATCAATATCTCTGATTTTCTCTACATTGGGTCTCTGCAATTGGTTCCTCCCTTTGAAAGCAATTTTGGGTCATTTGCTCTGAGTTTAGCTAGAGAAGTTCCTACTTAGCACTGACCAACTCTACTCTATCTTAAAGACATTCAACAGATAGGCCCTCCATTATATTGGAAGGAATTCTAATCAGCCAGAGGTCAGGAAACAAAGCAGACTAAGGGATGTTGCATGGTTTTCCAGGCAAATAAAGAGGCAGCTACTACACTGGATTGGCAAGAGCAAACAGTCAGGAGGCCGGGGACACCTGTATCAGTTTAACACTGTAGACAAGAATGTTGGAGGATTATCACTTTCCAGTATTTTGGATGAAAATGTCTTCCTGCAATCATCAACACACAATACAGAATGATAAAACCATTAAATGGTCAAAGTTATACAGCCAATAAGACACTATCCAAAGTACCCTTCAATATTTACCATTACATAGTAATATTTTTATTAGTTTGGTAATAGAGTACTATAAAGGCTTCCCTAGTGGCTCAGATGGTAAAGAATCTGCCTGCAGTAGAGGAGACCCAGGTTTGATCCTGGGTCCAGAAGATCCCCTGGAGAAGGAAATGAAATAGACCTGTTAGAGATACTGTTATATATTTTTAATAGCTCTCTCAGATTCCACTGGAATTTAGGAAACAATTTTGAAGAGGTGCATCCAAAGAGAAATCATTACTGATTCTCACATGAAGATAATATTTTTTTCCTTTGACTTTTGCATCTCCTTGACATTGACAATGTGACTAATATATCTGGTGGTATGAGAAATCCGCAAGGCAATGACATCACAATATGTAATTTTTCCCTTGTGTACTCAGGAAAAGTCAAAGTTCTCTTGTACACTTAAAGAATCAAAAGGCCTAATTTGAAATTGGAATGGTATCCAAAATAAACAAGTTGTAATGTTCTCTTTCCCCCTAAACCCAACCTTTTCCCCTGTAGTTTTAAAGTTTGGAATTATGCTGTCATAATAGTCTGACTTTCATTTTTAATTAGTCAATGATTTAAAAAAGAAAGAATGAAAGAAGAACTTTGCTGTGCATTAAAATCATTGATGTGTGGTTTTCTTTGGGTTCTGGTGTTTGAAGTGCCTTGTACTGACTTTTTTGTTGCCAGCAACTGAAATACCTACTAATGCTTTCTGGCTCTAAAAGAATTGCAAAGCATTGGCTACATATGTTTACCATTATCCACAGAACCGTCAGACCCTTTATTCTAGTGGAGGCATGCATGGAAACAGGCCAGAACGCGAGGGAACACAGTTCCGGTAGTGAAATTAGCAACTGGACAACATTCCCAGGGAAGTGGCTGAGTTCAGTTCTGGCAGAAATCCCACTGCTGCTGGTACAAAAAATAAGAAGAAGAAAAAGAAAGGAAATACAAAGGGTAAAATTTATCTGGGGGAACCAAAGGAGGTAAAAGCATATGATTTGTACAACATATCAAAAAATAATCCTAATGATACTTTCCAGTTACTCTAAAATTTTGGTTATTGGGTGACTTCTGATTTTGAAATGGCAAAATGTTTTTATGAACCTGGATTATGCACGAAGGTTTAACACTTAAGACTGGCAACCTTTAGACCTTTGAAGAGAATTTTAAGAGTTCATTCCACTATTGTGGTCACAGGATTTGAAACCATCATTATGGTTGAATTGTAGCTATTATTTTTACTTCCCCCAAGTTGTATCAATTCACCAAACTAAACATGGTTAAATGGGAAAAAAATCAATTTTTTCAATGTAATCTGTAAAATTTTGGTAGGAGTAACTTAAAATATGGATAATCGTTAGATGATATGTTACCAACTTATGGTATTTATTTAATGTTCAATATAGGTTGCTAGGTAACATGAGTGCCTTTGTAAAATATTGCTGAAAATTTGAAATATCAAGGAGGGCATTTTTAATATCACAAAGCTTTCTGGGAACTAGGCAAAATCTAAAATGACTCAAATTTATATAATCATAAAAGAAAATTTACCTTGACCTTTCAGATTCAATTAACAAAACTATATGTTAATCATTGTATTTATTATTTGATTTATGCTTAAAAACAATTGCTGAAATCAGCTTTATTATCCCTTAAAAGGTAAGGAAATTGAAGCATGGAGGGTCACTTAAGAATTCTTTATAGAGCTAGAATTTGAACCCAGACTTACCTGACTCTAAGCACACATTGTGGGCTCACTAAACTCATTTCTTCTTCTTTCTGGACTTCTTGTAGTACCTTGTACTTAGATGTAGTCATGTGACTAAGTTCCACATCAGTTCAGTCGCTCAGTTGTGTCCGACTCTTTGTGACCCCATGGACTGCAGCACGCCAGGCTTCCCTGTCCATCACCAACTCCCAGAGCTTACTCAAACTCATGTCCATAAAGTCGGTGATGCCATCCAACCATCTCATCCTCTGTCGTCCCCTTCTCCTCCCTCCTTCAATCTTTCCCAGCATTAGGGTCTCTTCCAATGAGTCAGTTCTTCACATCAGGTGGCCAAAGTTCAACATACTAGATGTAGATGGAAGTGACATGTATCATTGCAAGACTGGCCCATAAAGTCCTTCATGCAAAACCGTCTTTTATGCTATTTCTCCTTCCATTGGTTGGGTGTGGTGAATGTGACAGAAGCTCAGGAAGGAAGGGACTGGGTCTCCGTTTTGCTGCTTGACGAAAGTGTCCTCTGCTAATCAGACGAATCTATCCTGGAATTTCTGTGGATGAGAAATAAACTTCTATTGTATTTGAGCTGATATGTTAATACATTTGAGGCTTTGTTACAGCAGCAAAAGTTGCTTTGTCTGTGTATTACATATATTATAATACAGGTCGTTCTTCATATTGAAAAGACCTGGAGAAGCCCATACATAAGGGTAAGATAGCTATTATACACAGGAAAACCTTTATTACTAAAAGTTGCTTAAATAACTTTTTAAATAGGAATCCGGAAAGATCTGAACAAATGAGATTATTTTAAGAGACATCAATTTAAAAAAAAAAGTATCACTTAGAAAGAGCTCTCATTTTTCTAAGTTATCAACATCTCAAGAACTTGGTTTAGAATCATAAAGATATAAAATTTAACTGTTAATGGATATTTGAAAAGTAGATATACTGTAGACCAATACTATGTACACAGAGGTGTTCAGTAGTTTGTTTTATTTGATAGTTTTATTTGGAAAACTCAGAAGGCAGGACGAAAGAAAAGCAAGACGACTCAGTGTACCTAAATGAGTAATTCAATTCAGAGCAAACAAGAATCGTTTACAATTCTATAAAATTTTCAAACTCTTAGGGACATTAAGTTTTACTTCTGTAAATTCTAGTGATTAGGAATGAAATGGGACTCCTTTAAGAGTCGACAATGTGTTGAGGCTTTAGTGTAGTTATATTTGTATGAAAAAACATCTGAAATGCCTACATTTTTGTTCATGTCTTTTCTCATATGAGAAAAAAAACATTTAAAGAGGCCTTTGTGATGATGCTAAAGCTTTATAGGGTTGTCATTAAAATATTATATAATTTAAAACTAACTCAGTATCTGCAAGGAGAATACAAGCTGTTTTGGGTGGAGCTGGAACACTGGTGCAAAGTCAGCTTCTTCTATGAGTGTCCAAATCCATGTCTGGTTTGGCCTGGCACTGATATCTGAGTATCCTGTGCTGCACCCCTGGAAGAGGAGTTCTTTAAGGATGGTAGATAAATAGTGTCAAAGTTCCAGAGAGGAGGGGTTGGAAGGTCATAAATTCTGGAACCAGAGACATCTGCCTCTTCTACATTTTAGTTGTTTAGCTTTGATTAAGGGATTGCACGTGAGTGTGTGCATGTGTTCAATTGCTCAGTTGTGTCCAACTCTTTGCAACCCCATGACCTGTAGGCCACAAATCCAGGGATCAAACCTGCATCTCTTGTATCTCCTGCCTTGACTGGTGGATTCTTCACTACTGTGCTACCTGGCAAGACTGATTAAGGCATGAGGTATCTCGAATTTTGAGTTGTGGTTTTTCTGCCAAAGGGGACAATGCTATCTACCTTGAATGGTCTTTGTGAGAATTATCAGTAATATAAAATGAGCTCCTGGCAGACAGATATAGTTGAGTAGAAGTGGTGGTGGTTGTTGAAGTACAGTCTGGTCAGAGAGCAGGGTTCAGTCTCTACGGAGGTAAGTTAATAAGACTTGGTTGGAAGGTTCCAATCTATGATCTAAGGGTCAAACTAGGGTTCTAGCTCGAGTTGGGTAAAACACTGGGACACAAGCACATGGAAAACAGATGCTTAGTCATAAGGATGGAGTGAAGATTTCAAGGAGCATAGAGTGTCACTCCAGGATCACTAGGCTTATGACAGCATAACTGCCTCTAGAGCTTAGCCATTGGGAGGATGGGTCCTGATACAGGAACAGACACTGTAGGATTGTTTCAAGAACTGTGCAAAGCTGAGCCTTCAGGCTGTTCAATATATAATGTGTCTGTTTGGTTTTGAGGCAGGCAGAGACAGAAAATTGTTATGGAAAGTGAGCTATGTTCCTCATTTTTGCTTTTATATCACATTCAACAATCAGCCCTTCCCAAACTTGCTTGTGATTGTGAGAAGGAATTCTTCAAATGTATAAACTTATATCATGAGACTTAAACCTCTGTGTCTTCTAAATTCTAAATAATTTATGATTCTCATTGTATTTCTCTTTGAATGAACTGGACCTGCCTTTCAGGACTGAAATGGGGAAGATGATAGCAGAAAGGTAAAGGGTAGGTTCACAGGAACAACAAAAAATATCCACACATTTATCTTTTTAAAACTCTTTTATAGATACTGAATGTGAAGTGACTGGATTGAATATTATGCTTTATCAGTTTATAAAGACAAACATAAAACAATCCCCCTCCACTAAATGGCAATCCAACATTGCCTTCTCATTAAACTTTGTGTAAATCCCATATCCCCACTCTGTTTCGTTCCTTCCCTCCTCCTTCTTCCCTCCAACTGAAGCTCAGTCCCTCAGGACTCAGAGATGTAAGGTGATGCTATTCAGTATGAAGAGAGCTATAAGAGGAGGCACAGAAACGTGCACAAAGGCTATGAGAACAGAGGAAAGCGGTTCTAACTCTTCCACAGGGAATGAAAGTTTGAGGCAGGAGCTGTTCCTGAAAAATATTCCAGGTCTGGCCAAATGAGGAGCAGGAGGACTGCTCAGATGCTGGTCAACCATGAAGAATTTCCTGCTGCTGCCCTAGACCCACACTCAGTCATGGGTAGACAGCAGGGCGCAGGGACGGCCCCTAGAGACAGCCACTCCCAAGGCCCCCTTGCTCCAGTGAAAGGGAGGGAAGACGCAGGGATGGGCGTCTGTAACTGGAGGAACCCTGACTCCCGAGGTTGGCTTTCACTGCAGGCCTCCTAAGGTTGGATATGGATATGATTAGGGTCTGCAATAAGTGACATCTGTTTGCTCTGACCTTTGGGTAATGTGGCGTTTCTTTCTCTGGGGCAGATGCTAGAAAGGTGTTTATTGTGAGTTGACAGGGGTCTTGGTGGGTGGTGAGGTGTGAGTCAAAATTCTACTATGCATTTTGGCATTTTGTCTACAGATGTTTCTCAGATGTTTGTGGGCGGGCATGTCCTTAAAGAAATACTAAATGTATGTTTTTGTGTGTGGAGGAGAGGAAAAAACTTGTACTTAAAACCTTGGCCCTTTTATGCCTGCCATGACACTCCTGTTTCATGGCCAGACTGGAACTAGTCATTGCATGTACTTTCTGAAGAGAAAATTTGCTCATTTAAAGAAAAATCTTCTGTCAGTTTGATATTAACACACTGATGAACAAGCTAAATATGGCATTGGGGGAAGAATGGAAGATTTCAGGAAGTACCAGGTACTCGTTTTATGTTGCCCAGCCTTGCTTCATCACCCCAGTGTACCATCCCACTACATAAGACAGGACACAGGAAGCCTGTGGTGAGGCTCATTCCTAACTCCAAATTTCCACTGCAGTGAGAGTTAGTCTTCAAAATTCACAATCTATCCCCATTTATGATACCATGGAAGTCACACCTTCTATTCCAGATGCCAAGATGCTGACTTGATAATACTGGAGAAAGAGAGAGAGAAAGAAAGGTGAACTTGAAGGATATTCAACTTTTAATACCTTTAGAATTACCATAAAATATATTTTAAAAAAGGTTTGCAAAGAAATGAGGAAAATCAAACCACATTTTTGAAATTGTCTTCTTTTTTCCTACTTAGAAAAGAAAACTAAACCCCCCAAAAAAATCCCATTTTGGTTTTGATTTCCAGAAATCTTCTGAAGTTCTAAAGAAATCTAGCTTTAGCTTAGTCTGAGAAAATCTACTTGAAAAACTTCACAAATGGATGAAAGAAACTCCTTACAGAGTTAATTAATCTGATTAGCAAATAAATGGAAAAATAGTGATGACGGGCTATGCCTGGAAACCAAGAGCTTAAACATTACATAGAATTTTCCTGCTTTGTATCGAAACTTCTTGAAATAATGTTTTTGACAGATGCTCACTTTGACCTCCACTTGTTAGCAGTTATGTGGAATTTACCCTCTCCCCCCACACCAAAAAAAGGTTATTTTCAAAATAAGTTTGTTGTATACGGTTAAATAGACCAACTTTTTCAGCTTAATTTCACCTAAAATTCTAAACCTTAATGACTATCTTGATGAGCAGGAAATATATTATCAAATGTTGCTTTAAAAAAAAGATAGCTAATGAATGATTATCAGGATAGTTCTTCGCTAACAAAATAATTAGACGTGTTACATTTGTTAGTGACTTTGTTCTGAATATAAATCTTGCTTTTTTTAAACTCAGCCACCATTTAGATCTATGCTCTAGGTCATCTACAGAAATGAAACAGGGAAATAGGAAATGTGGAAACCCCATACAATTTCTTACAGTCTTGATTTCATTCTCCCAAATTAGGATAGTGTGTTTCAGCAAATCTGGAGACTACGATTACCTTTAAGTATTTGAGTACACGATTTCTTCAGACTCACAGATTTATAGAACGGACCTATGGTTGCTGGGGAGACGGAAGAATGGGGGGAAAGGATAGATAGGGATTTGGGGATGTATGTGTACACACTGCTATATTTACAATGGATGACCAGAAAGGACTTAGTATATAGCACAGGAAACTGCTCAATGTTTTGTGGCAGCCTGGAGGGGAGGGAAATTTGGGGGAGAGTGGATACATGTATATGTATATGTATGGCTGAGTCCCTTTGCT